GTATGTGTGTGTGTGTGTGTGTGTCTGACTGATTCGGTGGGGTTGGGAGGGGCGACCCATCCCCCACCAATCAATCAATCAATCAATCAATCAATCAATCAATCAATCAATCAATCAATCAATCAATCAAAAAAAAAAAGAAAAAAAAAACTATCTGTTTTGAGTCTGGTTTTGTTTTTGATTTTTAAAAAATAATTTTAATGCTAAAAAAATAAAAATAAAAATATGGGGATGTAGAGAGCAAAAAAATCTACACCCCCATATATATATATATATTTTTCACTTATGTTTTACCTGCAAAAAAAAATCCGCGGACCGAGTTGTACCACGTTCAACTCGGTTTAATTGCGGAGTTGCAACGGGAGTTGAATGGGAGTTGAACTGTTCAACTCAAACCCCCCATTGAATCCGATTTCGAACACATAGCAGAACAGGTGCACCGAAAGGAGACGAACTAGGCCTTATCCACCCTTTCTCTAAAAGCTCGTCTAGTTGCTTGCGAAGCTCTTCTAACTCTTTGGGAGACATACTGTAGACTGCTTCCTTAAACCACTAGTACCTTTGTCGGTTCGAAAATACTCGGCCTCCGACCTTTCAGGAGGCTGAAACGAAACGACCGTTGCCGATCAGATTTATCAACGTCGGGCTCGGCCTCCTGAAAGTTCGGAAGCTGGCAAGAACTTGTTGAAAATAGGCTCGGAGGTACTAGTGGTTTAAGTGTTCTACTGCCAGGCTCTATCTCGATGCGATGCTGGATAGGCCTTGGCACTACTCCTGAAGGTGCCTCAGATAAGTCCTTATGCTCTTCCAGCAAACTGGCAATAGAGAGATGGATCTTCTCTTCCTCCTTTGGCTTGTCAAAAACTGGCCTAACGTAGGCTGCGAACACTTGTTGTTCGAGTTGCTCCCTTCACACTAACCTAGCGAACGCACGAGCGCTAAGGCAGCAATGTGCCAGGGGGTTATCTATCCCCGACTCATGATACAGGCGGACTTGCTTAACTTCACCTAATGGATTAGGGAGCCTACACTCGTGCTCTCTAAGGGGCAGTGTGGCCCCTGCTGCCTCTCCCCAATCTGTACCCAGTAGTATGTCGAACGGGAGATTCTCTTCTACGAGGAGAGTCGAGGAATGAAGGACCTTCTCTACCTTCCCTTCTTTCTCTAGGTGGAAATATGCCGGGACTCGCTCGACGTATTCCTCGGCACGCATCCTACTGTTGTCTGCGAGGATGCTAACTATAGGCTCTCTCAGTCGTTGGACTTTCAGACTGAGCTTCAACGTTTTCAACGCTTTATGACCCCACTATCTATAAGGGCCCCTACTCTAGCTCTAAAGATCTCTATGTCTGCAAGGATTAGCTGTCCTTTTCCATTTTTCTTCATCTTGGGCCAGGCTTGCCTCCTCTCCTTCAACTCTTTAGCTAAGCGTGTGAGGGAAGCGTCTAGAGAGACTCTGACACAAGCAGTCTCTGGACAACTTACTAGACGCTAGCCAGCAACCTCTGCCATGGAGGTATGTGGAGTGGGAGTCTCTTTCTTGCATGCACACTCAAATCCACATACTCCTAGGGTAGGGGCAGTTGCAACCCCTACCGGCGGTTGTCTTTTGCTGCCCCAGAAGCAGCCTGACTCCTAAACTTTGGACAAAGATTTGATGATGTGACCAGGATCCCCGCTGAAAACGCATTGGAACCTGTCTATACGACCCTGCCACACATTCTGCTCAATTCCCAATGCCTCCTAAGGCCGCCCTTTGGGCCGACCTGGGTGCCACCTTCCTTGTCTGGGAGGTGACCGACTCTGATGCAGACATTAGAGAGGGGTCCTTGACCCCATCCTCCCGCTTGGCAGTCCCTATTGCCGCCAACCCCCTGGCTGCCCTGTCCTCGGCCACCTGGGGCCCGACCATTCCTGCTAGCGCCCCTTCCTCCTCCTCCTTGCGGTCTCCCTCCGACTGCGACGACAGTGTAGGTACTCCCTTGTGCTACTCTACCGTCTCCTCCTTCTTCTTCTTCTAGTCCCCACTCTATGTCAATGTAGGGAACTTCTTCTGCACCACCCTCTTCCATTGTTAGGATCACTTTTTGCCCTTTGTCAAGTCCTTATGCCAGAAAGTGGTAACTGACGCGGCTTGGGCGGGGAACACAACAACCTCCCTACTTAGGACATCGAAGTCATGCCTGGCTGCTGCTTTTTAGCGAAGAAATGCCCCTGCACTTGCTCGGGCAACGCATGGTAAAAGAGTTGGATAAGCTGTGTGTCGGTCACTCTGTGGTCGGGCACAGCGATCAGCTCGTCCATAGCGGACTTGAGGGCATGGACGCTCCTCCACTACCGCATATGGATTGTTTGCAGTTTATCAGACGCCTTGATCCCCCTTGTGACGTCTGCAAACTGTTCCGTAAGTGCTTTAAGGAAATCAGAGAGGTGGGTTACTCTTGAGTAATGAACCATATCATGTTCGCAATGTGCAGCGTGGGCAAGCGACCGTACGAAGCTAGTCGCTTCCTCTCTCAATGCCTAGAAGGCCACTAGGACATGGTCCTCTGGTGCTACGCCTTGTAGATACAAATAGGAGTTGACGTTAGCCTCGCAGATGTCAAAGTCCTCTCCTTTCTTTCCACCGAAGGGCTCAGGGAAACAAACTTTGACTTTCTCGTGGTGTGGACTGGGCTCCTGTTCCTTGGAAGCCGCTAATTTGGCACCCTCTATGGTGCCTGTGCAGAACTTCTTTGTCCTGCCTATCACGATATGAATTTGATCCACTATATATGTCATCATCTCCTGAGCGAATTGCTTGAATCTGGCTTATACAGTCTCAAGCGCGATATCATGGCCGCGGATATGCTTTTGCTGCTCTTGCTGGGCGGTTAGTAGGGAATTTACACTATGAGTCAGGGTGTGAAGTTTCTGTCCTAATTCGGTCTCTTCCCCGATCTTTCCCATTCTTGTCTCTACCGCTTTAATCCGCCTCTCCATCTTTTTGGCAACTTCCAAGCGCCTTATTCTTTCTTGCGCCAGGGTCAACTTCCATCCCAACTGCTTCTCCTGCTCCTTTTCCTGTCTGCGCAGGGGGTCAACCTCTCCTTCCAACTCTTTAGTTACAGCCGCCCTCTCGGCCTGGGGAATCATCAGCTCCACTTCTCTTTCTTCTCCCAATAATAAATGCGCCACCCATTCCTTAGCTGCTCTTTCCTCCTCCTCTGGTGGAGCACGACTAGAACTTGCCTCTCCTCTTCTTCTTGTCAGGGCTTCTTCCTCTTCAGTCTCTTTGTCTTCTGCTATTTCTTCGTCTTCTTCTACTTCTGCTTCGACTGCCGCCAGATTCTCCTCCTGCTCCTTCCATCTTTCTAGTTCTTCCTCCATCTGTTTCTTCTTCGCCGCCTGTTCTTCTAGCAGGGCTAGCATTTTCGCCTGCTTAATGAACTCCTTCTCCATTCTCTCCTTCTTTTCTATGAGGATGGTGGCAGTTTTCTCTTCTTGACCCTTACTGTAGGGGGCCGTGCTAGTTCTGCTCCTGGTGGTCACCATGGTGATAGGGCACAATCACAGATGATTCTGCTCCTCAACACGTAGACCTACTAGTCTGATTTTCTAAAGGACTACAACAACTAGGGTCTCTAGTCTGACCTACACTAAGGCTGTCACTACAGGAGTCGCTCGCTGATCAGGAGGCATTTAAAAAAGATTCCCCATAACTCAGGAATTCTTTAACATCGCAGACAGGACGACGTGATCAACAGAGTCCTCTCAAGACTTAGACAGCTGGACACACAGCCCACAGCTCCGAGTTTGGGCCCCCCACGCCACACTGAGCAGCATGCCGGTCAGTTCCGGTCCTTGGGGGTCTTGTCCCCGGGACGTGTCAGTCGTCAGATGCGGCCTTTAACCTTGCTGAGTCCCGTGTGGGTTTGGGCTTGCAGCTCTACAACCACATCCACAAAGTCCTATCGACCTGGACAGAAGTGACGGGGAGATATGACAGACTCTGACAGACTCAACGTCAGCAAGTACCAAGGTGAGGGTGCACTTCCACAGAGTAAGGGCTAGGCCAGGACTTAGAGAGATGATACCGCTCGTCATCTCGCTCCAGCTTGGTCAACACTTCGGTCAACGATCTTGGTCAACTCGCTGGTCAACGGTCTTGGTCAACTCTATGGTCAATGCCGGTCAAGGTTCGTCAACCTCTCCTGTCCAACTTCCGACCTCCTGGCTATGGTGGTCCACCTTCTCCTTCGTCGCCCTCTTCTTCCTCTTTCACATTGGCTGTGGCCGACTTCACCTCCCTCTTCGTCAACTTATTTTTCCTTTCTGCGTCATTTCTTCCTCTTTCTCGCCGGTCGTCTTCTTCTCCGAGCTTGGCAGCTATGACTGTGGTCCGCTGTGGCCTCCTCTCTCTCTCTCTCTCTCTCTCTCTCTCTCTCTCTCTCTCTCTCTCTCTCTCTCTCTCTCTCTCTCTGTCTCTCTCGCTCTTCCTCACTCCAGCTATGGAGGCCTTCTCCTTCCTCGCTGCAGCTATGGCGCGGACAACGGGAACCTGCTCCGATACCAGTGCAATCAGACTTGTCAAACTTCACACATGCATGCAGATGCTGAAGCAAACTCGCAATGGCACAACTGGCCCACACACAAAACTCAGAGATATGGCCTCCAGCCAGATACTCAGTAAGTCAACTGTACAACTTGCGGCTATGGCCACCGAGCACTGTCTCCACCACCAGCCTCACTAGAGGCCGAGTGAAGTTTAGAAGTCCGGTAGGCCTAGGTCTAGGGGTACCAGTCCACTGGTCTGAGTCTAGGGCCTGTAGCGGACGACATCAGACCTGCAACGTTGTTTCCCTCTGAAAGGAGGAATGTACTGGATGCTTGGGAGGCCGAGCGGCCTGGAAAGTCACTGCCCCAGAGGCAAGATGCCCGGTATATATCCAGGAGGAGCGAAGTGCTCGTCATTTTGTGGTGAGCAAGTTTGGCGTTACGCTGCTGGAGCGAGCGCTGGGGAGGAAGAAGGCGGGCTGGCCCTCCGCCTTTGGCTATGGTGGAGCGGACCAGAAGGTAGGCTCCGGGGTGTAGGCCTGGTGCTCCAGCTCCAGCTGGCGGAGCAGCCCAGGTAGGAGGAGGAAGCAGCGAGCAAGGAGGAGAGTGACGGGGGTACTTACCTGGTGGACATCTTCATCTTCTTGGTTGGCGCCGCACCTAGAAGGCCCAAGTGGGGGTGGGCTGGAAGACTTCAGGGCAGAGTTAGGTGTGGCAGCCGGAGTACAGGGGACATATCACTTTTGC